CCCTTTACGCACTGAATTATGTTTCAAAAGTGAAAAAACAATCTGAATTACTTTTCAGATCACGCGCAGTCTTTGTGTTGTACTGGCAGTAGCGGCGCGCCTACTCCATCGAACGTCGTTTGAACGAGTTCACAACATGTGACGCTACCGTCACACTCGCGGCTAGACTCCAAACATGTAATTACTCTCGGTAGAAGCTTTTATTTTCTGTGTGACGAATTCGTCACACCAGGGCCCAAAAGGCTAGAACACCGGCATGGCGCACTTACCGGCGAACGTTGCCAAACTCGATCATTCGAGTTATGAACGAGACAAGGCGCGGTTAAACCGACTCTGTTGTCAGCACGAGTGCCTACGGAACGTGACCTTATTTAATGAATTATTGGCTGAAATTCATAAAGTAACAACATTTGGCGAATTTTTCCAAAAGTCATAACAAAAGTAACAACATAAGATCTAATAAACAAAAAGTAACACTTTTGTTACAAACGTAACACCTCTGGCTAGAGGCGGGAAAATGATGCATTGTGAAAAAAAAGTCGCGCTAATCAAAACTGGCACCGCGTTGATTAAGGGTAGGTCGCAAATTTTTTTTCCGCGTTAATCAAAACCGCGGTATTCAAAACCGTGCTAATCAAGGGATTGCTGTACTATTCATGTATCAGACGTTATGAATACTATTGCTGTCTCAGATCTTATGAATACTATTCATGTATATACTAACCATAATATGAAGTTTAGTCCTTAGTTCTGCCTCCTGCAGCACAAGGGACGCCTGCCTCTTGTGAGACGCCCCACCACTTGGGGCCCCGTACAGGGCCACCTCCCCCCCACTCTCCACCTCCACCTCCCGCACCGCTGCCCCCCCAGCACCAGGTTTAAGCTGTAAGGTTTAAATATTATGTTTTAATTTAAATAATTTAAACTGTAATCAGGTAGCCATATTTTTTACCCACACACTGAGAAATTAGTGAGATTTTGTCCAAATAGCGATGCACTTTCTGCCTGTCTGCGGATTATGTCATCACAGTGTGGCCCGTATCAGTGTTACGTGCTAAAACAATATGAGCCATACATTTTTAACATTGCTGCAATGTACAGAACGTATCAACTACAGAACTTGTTACAATAAATCTAACTTTTTATAAATAAACGTATTTTAAAGTAATAAATAATTAATTAAATGTCATTTAAAAGGTAAGCGCATGACCTGGAGTTTGGACAGGTGCAGGTGGAGCAGGATGGGGTATCCTGTAGTGTTGACGAGGGTGTAGGGGGCAGGGGGAGGGGGCGTGCCCCCCAGCTCCCCAGAGTGTAGGGCGGCCATGTAGGAGGAAGCAAGGGTCTGCCCCACGCCCAGGAAGCTCCTGCTGACCATCAACTCCAGGGGATCCTGGAGGGGGGAAGGTGGGGGAATTCTCATTACAAGGTAAAAACTTACTACCGTTATTAGTTACATTTTCATTTTGAATGCGTTTATTTTTCTCAGAGTGAATCCTGGGGGGGGGTGTGTGTGTGAAAACCAGTGCGAATTTTTGCCAAAGTCACCCCCGCTTATTTTGGCACTCTGTGACGAATACGTAGCATCAGCCGCTGTCTTTCGAGGCCCTTGTAGTGGCGTTCGTTCTGACCAGGGCCCACACTTTCAAAAAAAAAAGTTAAAAGATCGTAAGTTCATCAGCCAATCATTGGCGGCCTTTCAAGCAATATCCACCAATCATAGACAAGAAAATAGAGCGTAAGTACTTACGTTCACTTAGCGAGTTTTGAAAGTATGGCCCCAGGTCCGACTATAGTAATGCTACCTACACTTTATGGACATCCGACCACGGCACTTAATAAACTGCAGTCTGTATTGAACGCTGTTCCTCGACTCGCGTGCAATAAGCGGAAATTCGACCATGCGACGCCAATATTACGAATATATCTTCACTGGCTGGGCATACAACAGCGCACGCAGTTCAAGGTCACTGTTCTGACGTTCCGATGCATTTACGGTCTGGCGCCTCCTTATCTCACGGAAGGATAGCAGCGCGAGTCGGATCTGCCTTCTAGAAGACGATTGCGTTCGTCATCAACAGCGGACCTCGTCGTTCCCTATACACGTCTATCTACCGTCGTACCATCTACACGTCTATCTACCGTCGGCGACAGAGCGTTCCCGGTTACCGCCGTCAGAACCTGGGGCCATACTTTCAAAACTCGCTAAGTGAACGTAAGTACTTACGCTCTATTTTCTTGTCTGTGATTGGTGGATTTTGCTTGAAAACTTCTCTTAACTTTTTTTTTAAAGTGTGGGCCCTGCACCAGTCTGACGGCTTCAGAAACATCGGCGTCTTCGTCGCCGGTTTTTCCACGACGCCTAAAGACGGAACTATTTCGTAGAGCCTATGAATCTAGTGCTTAGTCATTTTATCCGTTCCCATTCTTTCTTGTGTCTATTTATTTTCGCTTGCTATTAATCTTATGTGTGACGTGCTTTAGAAGTTCGATTGAACCCGACGCTACGGTAAATGCTTCGTATATTAAGAATAATATTTTTATTTTGGAAGCGAGCGTCTGGGGGGGGGGTATTTTCATTTAAAAAGCATTTATTCGTCTCAGAAAATTATTTTCATTTTGAAAGTGTTACTTTTCTCGTTTTTATTTTAAAATAGCTAAATTTTCTTAGAAAATTAATTTTCTTGTGGGTTCATCACTAACCTGCACTTGAAGCTTGAGGGAGAAGATGGGCGGCAGGACGGCGTCCACGCGTTCGAAATCCTGGGCGACATCCAGCCCCTGGGCGCCGTCCAGCCCCTGGACGCTGGGCAGGGACGACGCGACGCTCTCTGGACGACTGTCGCCCGCCTCCTCCTGCAGCTCCATCTCCAGCTGCAGCCATTTAATTGTTATCACTTTAATATTCCTCAACTAAATCATAAATAGTATCAATATTTTAGCATTAATAATTAAAGTGTAATTTTATCGATTAATAATTATCCTTGAGTATTATTTAGTCTTAAAGATATTTCACCATTACTAACACAATTCGTTAATTTAAGCTGGTACAGTTAAAAAAATTCCAACTAGGTAGCGATTTGTTAATATGTTCGTATTTATCTGAATTTGTTCCATAGTTGAAATACGATATGACTCAAGAACTTTAATTTCACCGCTATTTTAACTATTTTCACATCTATTTTAAGAATTTTCATCTCCATTTTACTACATTTTTACCTTTAATTATATTTATCACTATTTTAACTATTTCCAACTTCATTTTAACTATTTTCCCCTCTATTTTACCATATTTTCACCTCTATTTTAACTATTTTCACATCTATTTCATTATATTGTCATCTCTATTTTGACTATTTTCACCTCTGTTTCAACTATTTTTATATCTATTTTATTATATTTTCACCTCTATTTCAAATATTTTCATCTCTATTTTTACTATTTCCACTTCTCTCTCCATCAACTATTTTCACTTATATTTTATTTTTCAGTTATATTTGAGTATTTTCACCTCTATTTCAAATATTTTAACCTCCATTTAAACTACTTTCACCTCTATTTCAACTATTTTTACTTCAATTTTAACCATTTTCACCTCTATTTCAACTAGTTTCACCTCAATTTCAACTATTTTCTCCATTATTTTACTATTTTCACCTCTATTTAAACTGTTTTCACCTCTACTTTACAATTTCACCTCTATTTATACTATTTTCACCTCTATTTAAATTATTTCTTCTCTATATTACTATTTTCACTGCAATATTTACTATTTTCACCTCTATTTTAACTTTCACCCCTATCTCAACTATTTTCACCACTATTTTTTTACTATTTTCACCTCTATTCAAACTATTTTCACTTCTATTTTACTATTTTCATCTCTATTACAACTTTTTTCACTTCTATTTTCACCTCTATTTAAACTATTCCACCTCTATTTCAACTGTTTTCACCACTATTTCGACTATTTTCACCTCTATTTTAACTATTTTCACCTCTGTTTTACTATTTTCATCTCTATTTAAAATATCTATTAAATATTGATTTAATCTTTTATTTATTTAATCTACTTATTTAATCTATTATTTATTTAATCTATTATTATTAAAATATCTATTTTCATCTCTATTTTAACTTATTTATATTTAAACTAAATACTATTTTCACCTCTATTTGAATATTTTTACCCCTATCTTACTATTTTCATCTCTATTTTACTATTTTCATCTCTATTTTACTATTTTCACCTCCATTTTAACGATTTTCACCCCCATTTCACTACTTTCATCTCTATTTCAACTATTTTCACCTCTATTTCAACTATTTTTCACCTCTATTTTATTATCTTCATCCCTATTTCAACTATTTTCATCTCTATTTTACTATTTTCAAATTCTATTCAAACTATTTTTACATCTATTTCAAATATTTTCACCTCTATTTCACTACATTCACCTCTATTCTACTATTTTCACCTCTATTTCAACTCTTTTCACCGCTATTTCAGTCATTTTCACTTCTACTTTAATATTTTTATTTCTATTTTACTATTTTCACCTCTATTTTAATGGACGGCGGGCGGTACACGGGCCCCTTCTCAGTGAAGGAACAGAGAGGCTCCAGCAGCGGCTCCCACACCGCCAGTCTGGGGTTGTAGTAAACTGCCTCTACTGCTACGTCACCACTGCCTACAACCTGCACATGTAGACAAATTAATGGCTCATTATGTCCTATAGTCTGGGGTTGTAGTAAACTGCCTCTACTGCTACGTCACCGCTGCCTACAACCTGCACATGTAGACAAATTAATGGCTCATTATGTCCTATAGTCTGGGGTTGTAGTAAACTGCCTCTACTGCTACGTCACCGCTGCCTACAACCTGCACACGTAGACAAATTAATGGCCCATTATGTCCTAATAATTGTAGAACTTTGATCGGATTTAGCTGGTCTAATTGAATGACAGGAAGCAAAATTAAATATTTATTGCAAATAACATTAAAAATTAATTATGAAGGAATTAAGGATCAATGAGGATTCATGATTGAATTGTCAGAAGGATTAATTATGAATTATGATTAATCATAAAATTAATTATGAACGACTTATAGATCAAGGATTTATGACTGAACTGCTTAATGAATAAACAAAAAATTATGATAATTAGGGAGGATTAATATTCTTCATTAAATAATCATAACTTAACTAAGGAGGATTAATAACTGAACTGCCAAAAGGATTAATTATAAATTATGATTAATCATGACTTGATGAAGGAGGATTAATAACTGAACTGCTAACAATGAATTATGATTGATAAGGAATTAATTAGGGAGTATTAATAACTGTTGAACGGATTAACAATGAAATATGATTAATCTTGACTTAAAGACAAATGACAATTAAGGAACATTAAATTTAAATAAATTTTAATCATGACAAGCAATTAAGGAGGATTGAATTTAAATGAATTTTAATCATGACAATTAAGGAGGATTGAATTTAAATAAACCTTAATCAGGACTTAATTAGGGATAATAAATAAGTGAACGCACCTTGCTGGAGAGGAAGCCAGTGAAGGTGCACGTGGCCCGAGCCTGGAGCTTGACCAGGGGCTGGGATAGGGCCCCAGAGCCGGTCTCCAGGGTCACGGTCACGCGGGCCAACTCCAACACCGCAGATTCTGTGCCCCTCCTGCTGGAGGAGGGCCCCACCTCGGGGGGCCCCGGGGGGTACTCGGGGGCGCTGTCCACGGCCTCCGTGCCCTCTTCTGTAGGGGGGCGATGTGCATTCAGAAAAATTAATGGATAATTTTGGTACAAATAGTGACACACTTTCTGCATGCAGCACTGATACGTACTTTTGCTGGGTAAAACTGGGTCAGGATTGGCAATAACTGCATTGCTATTTTATCAAAAAAATTCAATTTTTCAGAGTATAACGATATCGTCAATGAAGGCAGCGAGTTTGATGCATGCCACAACAGGCCACATCACACACCACACCACACCACACCACACCACGCCACACCACACCACACGCCACACCACACCACATCACACGCCACACCGCATCACACGCCACACCACACCACATCACACGCCACACCACACCACACTACACCACACCACACCACACCACACTACACCACACCACACCACGCCACACTACACCACACCACACCACACCACACCACACCACACCACACCACACCACACCACACCACACCACACCACACCACACCACACCACACCACACCACACCACACCACACCACACCACACCACACCACACCACACCACACCACACCACACCACACCACACCACACCACACCACACCACACCACACCACACCACACCACACCACACCACACCACACCACACCACACCACACCACACCACACCACACCACACCACACCACACCACACCACACCACACCNATACCTGTCTCTTATACACATCTAGATGTGTATAAGAGACAGCTAGTGGATTCAGCTATTTGTTTATTTAATCGCTTGCGTTTTCTCATAAGGATTCGTCTGTCTCTCGGAATGCTGCGGACTTTAGGCCCTGTTTTTCTTGGTGTATGACGCACGCATACCTGTGCTAGTTTCTCACACAGTTTTGCGTAGATTTCCTCAGCATTCATCTCGTGAAACTCCGCTCTTCAATCGATTTCGTCAATTTCATTCCAACACACTACACCACATCACACACCACAACACACACCACACCACACCACACCACATCAAACGCCACACCACACCACACCACATCACACGCCACACCACCCACCGATGTGGAGGGCGGGCAGGAGGCTGAGGTCCGCGTCTCTGGGGAGCCACACGAGGGAGCGGTCCTGTGGGGGGGCCACACCCCCCACACCCCCTCCCTCGGCGGGGGGCGGGGGCTCGTCCAGCCTCCCCAGCGACTGCAGCACACACGACACCAGCTCCACGGCATCTGTAACACCAGTGCAGCTGTAACACCAGTGCAGCTGTAACACCAGTGCAGCTGTAACACCAGTGCAGCTGTAACACCGTGCAGCTGTAACACCGTGCAGCTGTAACACCGTGCAGCTGTAACACCGTGCAGCTGTAACACCAGAGTGCAGCTGTAACACCATGCAGCTGTAAAACCGTGCAGCTGTAACACCAGTGCAGCTGTAACACCCGTGCAGCTCTAACACCAGTGCAGCTGTAACACCAGAGTGCAGCAGTAACACCAGAGTGCAGCTGTAATACCGTGCAGCTGTAACACCAGTGCAGCTGTAACACCAGAGTGCAGCTATAACATTAGTGCAGCTTTAACACCATTGCAGCTGTAACACCAGAGTGCAGCTGTAACACCAGTGCAGCTGTAACACTACAGCAATCTATTTTCAACTGGATTAAAAAAGTTTTTTCGTTCAAATTCTTTGAAAAAACACCAAAACAATATATTTTCAACTGGATTACAAAAAAGTATTTTGAAAATCATTTGAAAAAATAATTTACCAGGCGTGCAGCGGAAGTCAACTTCACCGAGCTTGACTTGCAGGCTGTCAGCGTGGCTGGCAGTCGCGCTGTCAACCACCTCCATCGTGAACTCGCTCACAATCTGCCAGCAATAATTAGGAAATGTCAGGAAACAATTACAAGAGCTGTATAGGTCAGGTTTGGTCAGCAAACCTATATTAGGAGAGGTCAGCAATAATTTGGAAAGGTGAGCACGCGTAAGAGCCGCAGCAGCGCTGACACAGTAAAAAAAATATGGGGCGCATGGCAGGCGTCAAAGGTGATGCATCAGCATAGATGTGTAGGGACAAAAAACGAACTCATATGGGGCATGGCTGCACTTGAGACATGTCCCCACTTAAAAGATATTGCCCCATCTGGGACACATGGTCCCACCTGGAACATGGCCATGCACGGCCCCACCTGAAATATGGCATCCCCAAGGATATGGCCCCACAATGCCTCACAAAGGACATGGCCCCACGTGGGACATGACTCCTCATGGCCCACCTGGGACATGGCCCCCACAAGGGACATGTCCCCACCTGGGACAGGTCCCCACCTGGGACATGTCGTCACAAGGGACATGGCCCCACAAGTAACATGTCCCCACAAGTAACATGCCCCCACAAGTAACATGTCCCCACAAGTAACATGCCCCCACAAGTAACATGCCCCCACAAGTAACATGCCCCCACAAGTAACATGTCCCCACAAGTAACATGTCCCCACAAGTAACATGTCCCCACAAGTAACATGTCCCCACAAGTAACATGGCCCCACAAGTAACATGTCCCCACAAGTAACATGTCCCCACCTGGGACATGGAGGCGGCGCGACGTTCGACGTTGTAGACGCAGGTGTAGAGCTGCAGACGCTGCAACGTCGCCCTGACGTTGCGCTGCTCATCACACATCATCACCTTGCTTGTGATGGCGCCCTGCATCATCATGTTGCACTCATTTATTATACACCATATTTATTATAAAGCATTTGTTTATTATATGGGATTTATTTATAATAAAGGATTTATTTATTTTGGTGGATTCGTTCATTATGCAGGATTTATATATGATAAAATATTTATTTATTTAAAGGATTCGTTCATTATAAAGTATTTATTTATAATGAAGGATTTATGGGAATCGTGGATAAAAAGCAACACTATTACCATCACCCATATAACATCATATACAACATCACAACATTGCAGCATATCCACCATCATTGATGGTCGCTAAACGTTAAGTGAAAAATTTAAATAAATTGGAAAATACTGGAATTAAAGCCAATGTCTCTAGCACTCTATGTAAATTTGAACTAATATTTAACAACACTAATATTTAATATAGCATTTAATAACATTAATATTGTAGATTTAGTTTCACCAAATACAGGAAATTTTGATATATTTTGTCACTAATTTTTTTCTTTGTTTAGAAGATAAACACGTATTAAATAAATATAAAATGTGTTTTATTGTTAAATTGACTGACATGTAGGAAGATGGCGGGTGTGTTGATGTCGAATATGTCGTGCACGACGGCGATGTCAGGCTGTTCTAACGTCACCGCCACCTTCAGGAGCCCGCCGCCCCCCGCCATGTTCTCCTGTAGTGGTCACGTCTTTATTGCTTTATTTATTATCATTGTTTCTATTCATTAAAAAAAATTATTTCTTTTTTATTTTAAATTTTCGAAAATTATTTTTTTATTTTATTTGTATTTATTATAATTTTTTATCATCATGCCAATTGTTTTTTGATAATGTTATTCTCATTATTTATCGATCATATGATTAAATTATTTAATTAGAATCATTTAAAATCAGACTCTTATTATTTTCGTGAAAGTGACTGCAACGCACATTAATTCCAACAGAATTCCTAATAAATATGCTTGAATAAAGCGCACAGATATACCCTACAAAATTATTATAAAAAAATTTCAAAATTGCACATCATTGATTGCAATAAACACTGCAATTTCTATCACCTTGACCACAGTGCAGTTAATAAGTTAGAAAAATATTGCTTAATAGTACAGTTTAAAAAATAATTTTGTTTTGTATAAACACACTGTATAAATAAATAGGAAATTTATTTGAAATATTTAAATATAATTTAAATTTTTATATATATTATTATAGATAAATATATTACTATTTATTTATAATATATATAAAAATTACTATATATTCATACTATATATGTATTAATATATAAATAAATATATTTTATAACATATTATATTATAAAATATTCTTAAGTATAAATACACTGTATGAATGAATAGTAAATGTATTTAAAATATTGAAATATAATTTACAGTTAAAATATTATATGATATTATACATATAATTATAAATGAATAGTAATATTACCTTAGCCACGGTACGGCCTCGGCCAGAGTGAGACTGTGACCGCTGGACAGCTACTGAGGCCGTGGGGACAAGCCCTCCCTGTGGGGCATCTATGGTCCCCACTGAGGCATAATCCCCATGAGTGAGGCCACTCTGATGATCTGCCTCAGGGTCCCCAGGGCCCCCAGGGTTGAGGTTGTCGAGGAAGAAGGCCTGCAGCTTCAGGAGGTAAGGCAGGTGCAGCACCAGCAGGAAGCTGGAGACCCGCAGCGTCACTGTGTAGAAAAATGTAACTTTATACGGTATGTAGAAGTGTAACTATATATGTAAAAATGTAGCTATATGTAGAAGTGTAACTATATATGTAGAAATGTAACTATATATGTAAAAAAGTAACTATATATAACTATAACTATATAAAAATGTAACTATATATAACTATAACTATATATAAATGTAACTATATATGTAGAAGTGTAACATATATATCTATAACTATATAAAAATGTAACTATATCTATATATGTAACTATAAGCAAGTGCGGAAAATTATAAGTGGTGAAATAGGAATAAAAAACTATATACTGCAAAAGTCTAATATATAAAAACGGTTAATATAGCAATAATAAACATGAAGTTTTGAAGAACAATTAAATTGATGATTTATTAATTCCAACTAATTGAATTAATCAAAGAACAATTTAATTGGAGATTAATGAATTAAAAATTAATTAAATTAATTGCAGAACAATTAAATTTGAGATTAATTAATTCAAAATAATAAAATTATCTGGAGAACAATTAAATCGGAGATAAATTAATTTCAATTAATTAGCGAACATTTAAATAAAGTACAATTAAATAGAGAACATGCAAACATGTCTTCTGCTTGTTACTCAACTATTCATTTAAAAGCATATGAAAATAGGCTACGAATTAATTATAATTAGAATACGAATATTAATGAGATAATTGAATGGATTCACAACCCCCCCCCTCACCATCCATGTCCCCCGTGATGGTGCGGGTGAGGCTCATCACCAACATGGAGGTGGGGGCGTCAGCGGGGGGCGCCGCCCCCCCGAGAGAGGAACTTTTCCTCTCCAGCAGCCTCGTGATGCCCGTGCCCGTGTTAACTGTGTGTAAATAATTACTTCTTATAAATCATCGGGAATGATTCAGAAAAGGTATCAGCTATTTTTTTACTTTACAATATTGATTTTATCATGTTTAGATGTATTAACACCGTCTGCAATAGAGTGACTTTTCATGCAGATTTTAAGAATCTAATAACTTAGTCCTGCCATTTCTTAAAATATTTTCTTATTAGAGAAACAGATCAAAGTTGGGCTAATTAAACAGACACTTGACACAGTCAAGTTACAGATTAGATAATGGCACGAGTGTATTTGTACTAACTTTACGAAACATTCAGATTCCCTGTAGGTGTTTAGCTCATCCAGAAAAATAATCATTTTATTATATTATAACAATAATATTATTGAAGTAGCCCATCAACTCACCGGAAGCACCAGTACTCTTCGTTTTGAAAACCATGAAGTTTTAGTTATTATAAACAACCTCAAGTGATGATTGTTATCTTATTAAAAATTTGGTGGGTTAGGTGTCATCAACGAACGACAAAATATGCCCGATATTGATATTATTTTATTTATACATAGAACATCCCAGTATACTGTACGCAACAGTACATCCCAGTATACTGTACGCCACAGTACATCCCAGTATACTGTACGCCACAGTACATCCCATCAGTACACACTACACTGACCAGGCCTGATGTCATCGACGGTACAGTCGTGTACAGTAAGGCTGGACATGACGTGACCGTCAGACTGTACGTCTACAGTCAGCTCAGTCCTGTGCAGTGTCAGCCGTGACAGCGGCGACCCGCATGACGGGGGGCACCGCCCCTCCTGCCCACCACACCGTGTATGATACGCATATTATTATTTATTTAATAAATATTTTATTTAATTAATTGTTACATTATTCAATTAATTATTGCATTATTATTAACTGGATCATTAAATTATTATTTAATTCCACACCGTAAATGATAGGTATATCATGGAATTAATAAATATTTTATTTATTTATTGATAACATTTAATTAATTATTGCATTATTATTAACTGGATCATTAAATTATTATTTAATTCCACACCGTAAATGATAGGTATATCATGGAATTAATAAATATTTTATTTATTTATTGATAACATTTAATTAATTATTGCATTATTATTAACTGGATCATTAAATTATTATTTAATTCCACACCGTAAATGATAGGTATATCATGGAATTAATAAATATTTTATTTATTTATTGATAACATTTAATTAATTATTGCATTATTATTAACTGGATCATTAAATTATTATTTAATTCCACACCGTAAATGATAGGTATATCATGGAATTAATAAATATTTTATTTATTTATTGATAACATTTAATTAATTATTGCATTATTATTAACTGGATCATTAAATTATTATTTAATTCCACACCGTAAATGATAGGTATATCATGGAATTAATAAATATTTTATTTATTTATTGATAACATTTAATTAATTATTGCATTATTATTAACTGGATCATTAAATTATTATTTAATTCCACACCGTAAATGATAGGTATATCATGGAATTAATAAATATTTTATTTATTTATTGATAACATTTAATTAATTATTGCATTATTATTAACTGGATCATTAAATTATTATTTAATTCCACACCGTAAATGATAGGTATATCATGGAATTAATAAATATTTTATTTATTTATTGATAACATTTAATTAATTATTGCATTATTATTTGTTTAATTAATATAGTATTATTTAATTGATTGTTAGATTATTATTCAATTTATTCCGTATATGATACTTATATTATTATTCGATTAACTAGTACATTATTATTCAATTAATAATTACATTATTATTTAATCAATAATTACATTATTATTTATTTAAATATTACATTATTTCATTAATTATTACATTATTATTCAATTAATAAATATTTTATTTAATTACTTATTAGGTTATTAAATTAATTATTATATTATTTAATTATTTATTGCATTATTTTTTACACGATCATTACATTATTATTTAATTAATTATAACATTTAATTAATTATTGCATTTTTATTTACTGGATTATTAGATTATTATTCAATTGATTATAACATTTAATTAGTTATTGCATTATTATTTAATTAATTATTACATTATTATATAATCGATTGTTACATTATTATTCAATTTATTCTTACATTGAATAATTAGTTATTACATTACTTATGTAATTATAATAATAATGAGGTTAGTAATTGCACGAACTCAGTGAAATAAATGGGTAATTTTGTCCAAAAATGTCACACGATTTTTGCACGTATCACTGATTTGCTAGACCATTCCTGGGTCTGAACGACCCACACAAGAGCATACAGTGTATCGATCCTTGGAATAAGACCCTCTTATTTTTCTCAGTGAGCAGAGAGAAATTGGACTTGTCCAAATATTGATGCACTTCCTGCTTTATGTGTGTCATCCTGACCTAGTTTGGTCCAACAAAAGTCAGTATTTGAGTTCGTGATGTGAGTAAAAAAGAGTTTCACAATTTTTACAATGTGACTCATTCATATATGCGTCACAATTTGGACAATATGACCCATTCAGTAAGTGTGTCACAATTTGGACAATATTCAGCTAGTTTCACTATTTGGACAATATAATTTATTCAGTAAGTGTCACAATTAGGACAATATGACCCACGTATAACGTACAGTGGAGGGCATGTCAGCGTAGAGCTGCAGTGTCAGGGCCTGGACGGTGAAGCTGACGAAGGCTGTGGGGCGACTGACACTTACGGGGCCCCCGTCAGCGTCAGCCACCAGCACCACGGGCCCACCTAGGGCCCCACCTACGTCTGTATGGCGATAACTCTTATTATAATATGCAATATTAGTTATTTAGAACAATATACATAATTTAGCACAATATAAATAATTTAGAAACTGTCAGAAATTTAGAACAATATAAATAATTTAGAAAACTATCAGTAGTTTAGGACAATATAAATAATTTAGAAAACTATCAGTAGTTTAGGACAATATAAATAATTTAGAAAACTATCAGCATTAAAAGAATATAAATAATATAGAAAACTATCAGTAATTTAGAACAATATACAGAATTTCGAACAATATATATAATTTAAAACACTATTAGTAATTTAGATACCTACTTCAGTTATTTAGAGTTTTCAGTAATTTAGATTTTTTAGAACGCTATCATTACAATAGAACGTTTGCTGGACACTAAACAATTTAGGGTGCGAGAACATTAATTAGAACATATGGCTGAACACCAATGATAATATACGGGTGAACTTAGGTATAGGAATAATAGATTAAAAATGTATTTTAAAACATAAAACCCAGGAATGTTGAACTGAGATATTGATGGGATTAACTGGTAAAAAAATAGAAAAATACAATCAATGTAAAGGAAAATAGTAAATACGAAAAAGCAGGCATGAAGTCAGTATTTACAATTTAAACTTACACTCAGAAAAATTTAATGACTCTGTCCAAATAGCGCTGCAGTTTTTGATATTTTTAGGGCCATTCTGACCAGTATTGCCTGTCTGATCTCAGACAGGTGATACAGAGACATGTATCACTGATACACGTCAGTAAAGGACGTGTATCAGTGATACATGCAGAAAAGTTGTCACTATCTGGACAATTGACCAATTCATTTCACTGAGTGAATTAATTCAGCCAAATTTTCAAGGTAGGACGATCGCCAGCTGCAATGGGCCCTGCAGGTGCAGTTGCCCTGCAGGTGCAGTTGCCCTGAAGCTGCAAAGGTCCCTGCAGGTGCAAAGGGCCCTGAAGCTGCAAAGGGCCCTGAAGCTGCAAAGGGCCCTGCAGCTGCAAAGGGCCCTGCAGCTGCAAAGGGCCCTGCAGCTGCGAAGGTCCAGCAGGTGCAAAGGGCCCTGCAGCTGTGTCAGGTGACAATGTTGATACCATTTGTCCCTTGATATTTCCTGATTGATGTCTTCCTTGTTGAAAGATAAGATCCTTCACACGCAATATGTTCATGAGCATTTCCTTGTATTAGTCTTTCCTGTTTATGAAGTCACGCCCTTGGCGAAGCTATATGAGCTCTGCCCAGACGCGGAAACATCAGTCTTTTGCCGAGAACAGTCGTGTGTACGCTCTTACTCCTGTCCGTATCCATCAGGGCAGTAAGCCTAAATTAATGTCAGAGTAGAAGATACACTCTAGACTTATCCATACTTCAACTGGACGCCGAAGCTATCAATGTTAAAGCTCCAACTTATAATCTGATTATCCTAAACTGTAAGCCGATATATTCTCACTAAGTATAAGTATCTAATCTGTACTTAACTCGTGCTTCATTTATCCTCATTTAAGTCAAGGCACCAGAACCTGCCTCAGGTAATTTATAACTAATTAAATACGCCTAAAACGTGCATAGAAAAGCACGGCGTACGTACGACATCAACATCGTTCATTTGGCGCCCGAACATAGTGCCATAAGCGATTAATGAGTGATTCTGAAAGTGATGAAGAAAAAAATTGAGGCCAGTGAGAACTAGATGGGAACCAGTGCGATTCTCCATGTCAGAAAGAGTGCCAAAAAAAAACACGATATATATTTTTTGGCACTCTTATATATACGAACCGATATATTCTCTCAAAGTTATTATTTCGAGTGACGTAATCGCGTCCATGATTACAACAGGCATTTGCCTCGTATCAGTGATCACTTATTTTCAATTTTCCCAGCATCTATTAGAAAGCAATATTATTGCTCTATTTGTAGAATTAACGCACTGATATACTCATACGTATACAGGCATCACCGACCATTTGGGTAATTTCCATGTACGAAATTTTTTTTTTTTGTTGCCAACCGTCATTTAATACGTTACGAGCAGCACCTTAACGTACTTAAAATTTGGCGACATTCCAATGTCTCTTTACTAACCTGCTATATTATTGGGCGTTCCGTCATGATTTGTAGTGTGTAATTTTTTTCAATAATAATTAGACATTGTTCCACGCACATTGGAAAATGGTTTCTTAAGATTATGCTAAGTTATAACAATTTTAATAATCCCTACGAATTTACCGACAAGCTTGATTTGCTATCGATGTCAGCTATGATTTACCTTTTCTTGTTTTAGCTTACTTATGTTATATTTACAGTGTATACTTTTGATTTATGCACAATTTTTATATTAATTGCATTATTATGTATTGCATGTTTGGACACCGTTGTAAACCATAAAGCTTGACCATGTTGCAATGGTCAAGCTTGTCTAACAGTTCAACTTAACGTAAAGTAAACTGAACTTATGAGCTAAGGAGTTTCAGTAATGTTAATGTAAATAAAAGGAAACAATCCTCTTGCATTTTGGGTTCTCGTATTAATTCAGCCAAATATTGCCAAATAGTTTTTTCTCGTTTGGCTCGTTTAGCCAAATAGTTTCTCTAGTTTTATAGTATATTTATCTATCTCATGCCCGTGTTTTTTCGAGCGAGAACTTTGTTCTCCCGTCTACGTCACGAGGGCCGGCGACATGCTGTCTCCATCCTTGGCATTGAGGACGCCATCTCCTATAGGAGAGTCATTGACCTACTGTACCATTGACCTACTGTACCATTGACCTACTGTACCATTGACCTACCGTACGCCTGCCACGTCACAACGCTGACGTCACAGCTTGTAACAGCTGTTCACAGCTCTCAACTCTGCGTACATCACGGAGACGGCAAGCACAAATTCAAGGATGCGAATGAATTACATGACGAAAAGACGATCGCCTTCAACACTGTCTCCTCCGTCTCCCGATGGGGAGACGGAGTACGATGTTACTCAACATCGTACATCTGCAAAAGACCCTGCAGTTGCAAAGGGCCTGCATGTGCAGGAGGCCCTGCAGGTGCAGACGGCAGCAAAACATCTAGCAAATCACCTGCAGCAGAAGGCTCAGCAGCTGCAATGGGCCATGCAGGTGCAGAAGGCCCAGCAGCTGCAAAGGGCCCTGCAGTTGCAAAGGTCCCAGCAGGTGAAAAGGACCCTGCCAATGCAAAGGGCCCTGCAGGTGCAGAAGGCCCAGCAGCTGCAAAGGGCATGCAGGTGCAGAAGGCCCAGCAGCTGCAAAGGGCATGCAGGTGCAGAAGGCCCAGCAGCTGCAAAGGGCCATGCAGGTGCAGATAGCCCAGCAGCTGCAAAGGGCCATGCAGGTGCAGATAGCCCAGCAGCTGCAAAGGGCCATGCAGGTGCAGAAGGCCCAGCAGCTGCAAAGGGCCATGCAGGTGCAGAAGGCCCAGCAGCTGCAAAGGGCCATGCAGGTGCAGAAGGCCCAGCAGCTGCAAAGGGCCATCCAGTGCAGAAGGCAGCAAAACATCGAGCAAGTCACCTGCAGCAGGAGGCCCAGCAGCAGCAGGAGGCATGGCGCCCGCCTGCCCCAGGTTGTGCTGCAGGAGGAGCATCACCAGACGAACGTCTGCCTCACGCACCAACATCTGCACCAGTAAAATTAATGGTTAGTACAGTAATGGTCATTAGTGGTTAGTAATGGTTGGGTCATTAGTGGTTACCCCTTCAAAGGTCACACTCATAATGGTTACTCCATTAAGAGTTATCCACTAATTGGTTATCCATTAAATGGTTGCCACATCAATGGTTGCTCCACCAATAGCTGCTTGCTCCGGCCATATTCTTGATTTAGTCTCTACATTGTATTTGTACTCACCTGTATTTATTTGCATTTTAATCATTCCATTTCCATAACGTTTGTCATCAGCTGTTAAACAAATCATGAACGGAATTTCAAAAAGAGTCAACAATTTGAATGGTGAAGATCAAAGCAGGTTTAATAACTCAAGCAACAGTCACTAGTGGCACGTCTAGTAACAATAGGAGACCAAGTAATAGTTACGTGTATGGGGTGCAGGGTTGCAGTGACCGTCACTAGTGGCACGTCTAGTAACAATAGAAGACCATCAAGTAATAGTTACGTGTATGGGTGCAGGGTTACAGTGACCGTCACTAGTGACACTAGTAACAATAGAAGACCAAGTAATAGTTACGTGTATGGGGTGCAGGGTGGCAGTGACCGTCACTAGTGGCACGTCTAGTAACCAGGCACTAGAGAGGTTCCTCCTGACGGCGACGCTGAAGGACGTAGGGGCGAGGAGCGTCGACGATGACGTCGTGGGTGGTTGGGACACGTCGTCCGTGCTGCGTCATGAAGGGATGTGTTATTTATTAGTCGTATACATTTACACATCAATAGTAATATGAAAAATAATATATAATATTAATAATGGAAATGATAATAATATAAAGGTATACTTTGGTCTTAGCTTACATTTATACACATGCATCAGTAATAATATTATTAAAAATATTATCAATAAGTAGTATATTAATTCAAGCATTCAACACGAGCCCATTAAATTACAATACTGCATAAACATCACATTTTATTCAACATAACAACATTCAACACCTGCGTCAATATTACGACCCGAAGTTCATCCCCAAATATAAATACCCCCGTTCTTATACCGTTATCGCACTCAGGCAGTCAACCACAAGGTTAAGTCCCCGACGCAACAACCTCAAGTAATGCAATCCCCCGTTCATCCCCTTTATTAAATATCAACCATTCGGCCTCCACACCAGCCCCAACCACCTCAACCCCTTATTTAGCAGCCACCACTACCCTTAGTTTAGTCCCACACAACCCCTCATTTAGCCCCACCACAACCCCTATTTAGCCCCACACAACCCCTCATTTAGCCCCACCACAACCCCTATTTAGCCCCACACAACCCCTCATGTAGCCCCACCACAACCCCTCATTTAGCCCCACCACAACCCCTCATTTACCCCCACCACAACCCCACCACGCTAAAAAAAAACCCAACGTATTAAACGTACGCCGCTACAGTGACGTCAGTGAATGCCATGCTGACGTACGTATTAAACGTACATACGTATTAAACATACGTACGGCACCCTCAACGTATTAAACGTACGCGGCTACAGTGACGTCAGTGAGCGCCATGCTGACGCAGTCAAACAAGGCGGGTTGCCCCAGCTGGTTGCGCTGCGTCGTCACCTCCAGCTGGTTTGCAACCCGCAACTCGCCCAGGTTGATGAGCAACCCTGCGCTGCTGTGCCCACCCTCGGGCACCACCACTAGCGGGGCCTGCACTCATGAATATCAATTCATAAATAAATATATTAATATATTGTTAATAACTCATAAATATATCAATATTAAGTACACTAATAAAATTAATGTGGTCATATTGTCCGAAGTATGATACACTTTCTTACTCACAGCAGCAACTGAGAGCAAATGTAGGTCTTCGCCGGGCCAAACTGGGCGACCCACAAGGGACGAAAACTGCATCACAATTTAGATAAAGTTTTACTTATTTCTATGTGTAATTTCAACATATACCCACCTTTAGATAATGACACACCTTTGGACAATGACCCACCTTGATGGTACAGTCAAGTGCTAGGCGCAGTTGCTGTTGGTACAGTCAACCCACCTTGATGGTACAGTCAACCCACCTTGATGGTACAGTCAAGAGCTAGGCGCAGTTGCTGACTGTACATCTCGTTGAGGTTGGCACGCGCAGCCTCAGCAGCAGCTCCCCCAGCCCCCGCCAGTGGGGAGGACATCTCCCCCTGCACCGCAGTCACCCAGCACTGGGGGAGGTGACAAATTAATGGGTCAAATTGTCCCAGCCGTAGTAACATTAGATTACTATAGCCAAACATACACAGTGAACGTATTGGCCCATTAACCCCTTGCACCATTATTGGCACATTAACAACTTAGCAATTATTGGACCATTAACCCCTTAACCATTATTGGCCCACTAACCCCTTAACCATTATTAGCCCATCAACCCCTAGAACCATTACTGGACCATTAACCTCTTGAACCATTATTTGACCATTAACCCCTTAACCATTATTGGCCCACTAACCCCTTGAACCATTATTGGACCATTAACCTCTTGAACCATTAACCCCTTATACCATTATTGGCCCATTAACCCCTTGAACCATTATTGGACCATTAACCTCTTGAACCATTAACCCCTTATACCATCATTGGCCCATTAACCCCTTGAACCATTATTGGCCCATTGACCCCTTGAACCATTATTGGCCCATTAACCCCTTGAACCATTATTGGATCATTAACCCATTGAACCATTAACCCCTTAAACCATTATTGGTCCATTAACCCTTGAAGCATTATTGGCCCATTAACCCATTAAACCACGATTGGCCCATTAACCCCTTGAACCATTATTGAACCATTAACCTCTTAAACCATTAAACCCTTGAACCATTATTACACCATTAACCCCTAGAACCATTATTGGCCCTTTAACCCCTTAACCATGAACATTGAGATATAACGTCAGCAAAACCCTTTAACCATTATTGTCCCATTAACCCCTTGAACCATCATTGGACCATTAACCCCTTGAACCATTAACCTCTTGAACCATTAACCCCTTGAACCATTATTACACCATTAACCCCTTGAACCATTATTACACCATTAACCCTTAGAACCATTATTGGCCCTTTAACCCCTTAACCATAAACATTGAGATATAACGTGAGCAAAACCCCTTAACCATTATTGGCCCATTAACGCCTTGAACCATTAACCCCTTAACCATTAACGTATCTAACGTCACTTGACGCACCAAGACGTCGGAGATGAATGAGTTGAGCAGCAGTAGCCTCGTCTTGCCATAGTTATTGGACCATTAACCCACCAAACCATTATAGGACCATTAACCCTTTGAACCATTAACCCATTAACCATTAAGATTAAGACGTAACGTCACTTGACGCACCAAGACGTCGGAGATGAAGGAGTGTAGCAGCAGTAGCCTCGTCTTGCCCATAGTTAAGCAGACGCGCACGTCGACGTCGTCGAGACACACGTGACGTTCACGTGTGTCTGGGGCGCTGTACAGCTCCACGTGACAGTCCCACGCGCTACTGTCCTCCACCCTCACCATCTGCACTCATAAACATTAGTTACACTTTGTCCAAATATCCATGCACTTCCTGCCACTGTGTGGGTCGCACTCATGTTCTGAAACATCACCAACTGCACTCATATAAATTAGTTACACTTTGTCCAAATAGAGATGCACTTCCTGCCACTGTGTGGGTTATCCTCACACTGGTTTGGGCATGGAAAACAGACGTATCAGTGCTACGGGCTAAGAGTGTGTCGCTATTTGGACTGTATGACCCATTTAACTTTCTGAGTGTGCGTAACTAGTTAGCATTACCACTGTGATTACTACTTAGTTACCATTACCTCAGGATTACCTCGTTACCATAACCACTTGAACCATGCACCACGCAACTATTGAAGGTTCAATGCAATCCTACTATCACTCATCGAAATCCGTCACATCACACAGACGTGTAACGCCACACCACAGCACACACGCCACACATACGGACGTGTCACGTCACACATCATACAAACGTGTCACACCACACCACAGCACACACGCCACACATACGGACGTGTCACGCCACACCACAACACACGTCACACAGACGTCACTGACGTGCGTGTGTAGGGCGCTGGGACGAGGATCGGTAACACCCACGTCGCGCAGGGAAGACTTGACAACGATTTTGCTGCTCTCCTGCACCACCCCGACCGTCAGCCCTGTCCCCCCAAAAATCAGAGATAATAACGGTGGTTATGTACAATAATATAATATTATTAGTATATTTAGAACGTGTTACGGACGTAGCAGTCCCAGGCCACGCTGCAGCGCCGCACTCAGTTCCAGCTGGCAAGTCGTCGAAAGATGAACGGGGTCCAAAGCTGGCAGCAGTACTCAAGGAAAAGGATCGGAATGGCTCTTATAAGTGTAATCATCTTAGGAATATGAGTGAGAGGAGGGGATGGGTGTGAAGGGCGATGAGTAAGAGGGGGGTGGGTTAGAGGGGGGGCGGGTGAGAGGGGGGATGGATGAGAGTGGAGATGAGACGGGTGAGAGGGGAAATGAGTGAAACAGAAAATGTGTGAAACAGGAAATCTGGTGAAAGTGCAACATAAACGGAAGGGAAAAACGAAAGGGAAGAACAGGAAGAAGGAGAGGGAAGAACGGTGTAAGCCTCACCCGTGACGTGTGCATATGCGACGTGTAGGTCACCCCTGCTGAGGGTGACTGACACCTGCTGGAGGGCGGCGTGTAGACGCAGCAGCACCACACCCGCAGCACCTGCACCACCCACAACTGTCTATATATATCACTATCATTGCATCATGACTATACATATATATCACTATCATTATATCATGACTTTATGTATATATCACTATCATTGCATCATGACTATACATATATATCACTATCATTATATCATGACTATATGTATATATCACTATCATTGCATCATGACTATACATATATATCACTATCATTATATCATGATTATACGACGTATATATCACTATCATTGCATCATGACTATACCTATATATCACTATCATTGTATCATGACTATACCTATATATCACTATCATTGTATCATGACTATATATACATATCACTATCATTGTATCATGACTGAATATATATATCACTATCATTACATCAGCCTCACCCATAACTATCATTTTTACGTAGCTCTCTTCTTATCTTAGTCCTTGAACCCCTATTAAACTATCCATATTCATCCTGAAAATGATTTTCCAGATTGATATTCTACAGCAGCGCAGTGACCATTGCCATGGCACTGACACTGCCACTGGCATGACACTGCCACTGGCATGACACTGCCACTGGCATGACACTGCCACTGGCATGACACTGCCACTGGCATGACACTGCCACTGGCATGACACTGCCACTGGCATGACACTGCCACTGGCATGACACTGCCACTGGCATGACACTGCCACTGGCATGACACTGCCACTGGCATGACACTGCCACTGGCATGACACTGCCACTGGCATGACACTGCCACTGGCATGACACTGCCACTGGCATGACACTGCCACTGGCATNGGCCACTACCACTGACAAGGCCACGGTCACTGACAAGGCCACGGTCACTGACAAGGCCACGGCCACTGACAAGGCCACTACCACTGACAAGGCCACGGCCACTACCACTGACAAGGCCACGGCCACTACCACTGACAAGGCCACGGCCACTACCACTGACAAGACCACGGCCACTACCACTGACAAGGCCACGGCCACTACCACAGACAAGGCCACGGCCACTGACACTGGCACTGACGTTTGGCACTGATCTTCTGTCCCGTGACGAGGTCCTTCTTGACGAGGACGATGCCGGGGGCGGGGGACGAGGGGAGCTCCTCAGGGGGGGTGAGCATGGGGGGCGACGACCCCGACGACGAGGCACTCAGCGGCGCTGCCAGGCCTTCGTCAGGAGGACGTGATGACGTCACCGAGGACGGACGTGTGTCCGAGAGATGACGTAGACGCGCCTGTGATGAGGGTGATGGTTAGTGGTGACGAGGGTAATTGTTAGTGGTGACGAGGGTAACTGTTAGTGGTGACGAGGGGAGTAATTAGTGGTGACGAGGGTAATGGTTAGTGATGACGCGGGTAATAGTTAGTGGTGACAAGGGTAAAAGTTGGTGCCTTGGTGGTGACGAGGGTAACTGTTGGTAGTGACGAGGGTAATGGTTAATGGTGATGAGGGTAATGGTTGGTGGTGATGAGTGTAATGGTTGGTGGTTACGAGGGTAACTGTGAGTGGTGATGAGGGTAATGGTTGGTGGTGACGAGGGTAATGGTTAGTGGTGATGAGGGTAATGGTTGGTGGTTACGAGGGTAACTGTGAGTGGTGATGAGCGTAATGGTTGGTGGTGACGAGGGTAATGGTTAGTGGTGACGAGGGTAATGGTTGATTGTGTCGAGGGTAATGGTTGATTGTGTCGAGGGTAATGGTTGATTGTGACGAGGGTAATGGTTGATCGCGATGGGGTAATGGTTGATCGTGATGAGGGTAATGGTTGATTTTGACGAGGGTAATGGTTAGTGGTGACGAGGGTAATGGTTGGTGGTGACGAGGGTACGGTAACTGTTAGTGGTGACGTAGTGGTGACGAGGGTGATGGTTGGTGGTGACGAGGGTAACTGTTAGTGGTGACGAGGGTAATGGTTGGTGGTGACGAGGGTAATGGTTGGTGGTGATGAGGGTAATAGTTAGTGGTTACGAGGGTAATGGTTGATCGTGACGAAGGTAATGGTTAAGGGCGACGAGGCTAATGGTTAGTGGTGATGAGGGTAACTGTTAGTGGTGATGAGGGTAACTGTTAGTGGTGATGAGGGTAATAGTTAGTGGTTACGAGGGTAATGGTTGATCGTGACGAGGGTAACAGTTAATGGTGACGAGGGTAACCGTCAGTGGTGCCGATGGTAACTGTTGGTGATGACGAGGGTAATGAGGCGTAGTAATAAAGGGGCGGGCGAGGGTATACAATAGTGCCGCAAAAGTTCTATATATAGTTAAAAGTTAAAATATATATATAGTTAAAAAGTTATATATATAATTATACTACCATATAATTATATAGTTATATTATTAGAATCGTATCCACCAATTGTCATATAGTTCGTGTTATAGTAATATAGTTGTAATGTGACATACTTTTAGTTAACACCGCGAGTCTTACCTGAATATTTCTGGAATATAGTTCAAATATAATTAATATAATATAGTTTTAATCAAAACCGAGTCATTGTGACTCACTTACCTGAAATTTCTGGAATATAGTTCAAATATAATTAATATAATATAATTTTAATTAAAACCGAGTCATTGTGACTCACTTACCTGAAATTTCTGGAATATAGTTTCAATATAATTAATATAACATAGTTTTAATCAAAACCGAGTCATTGTGACTCACTTACCTGGAACTTCTGGGCGGTGGCTACGATGGAGGCTATAGCGTTGAGCTCCAGATGGAGGCTGAGGGCCGCCATGTGTAGGTGTATGTGTTGACATGTTGACTTGTACACCGTGTGTAGGTCAGGACTGCTCTCTGACACCTGCACAACATATGTTGAACTCCTGCATAAACATTCAACATTCTATCTCCGATACCTGCACAACATATGCTGAACTCCTGCATAAACATTCAACATTCGGTATATGAATTGGGCATAAACATGAATGTGAAAATGAAGAATAATTCCTTAAATGTAGAAATGAACAAATAATTCATAAAATATAATTTAGAGCTGCGACAAAAAACAGCATGACTTTAGACTTTAGAAATAGCAAGACTTATGGCTAAGACTAAACAATTTTAGACTTATAGACACTAAGACTTACAGAAAAACGATATTAGACTAAGTCTAAAACTGAAAAAAACACGACTATAGGCTAAGTCCACGATTAAAATAAAACACGACTTTAGACTAAATCCACGACTAAAATGAAAGACTTGAGACTAAATCCAAAACTGAAAAAAACGACTTTAGACTTAGTCCATGACTGAAAAAAAAAGACTAGACTATGTCTAAGGAGAGAAAATTGACTCAAGAACAAGTCCACGACTGAAAAAAAAACACTTAAGACTAAGTCTAAGATGAAAAAACGACTTAAGACTAAGTCTAAGAAGAAAAAAACACTTAAGACTCAGTCTAAGAAGAAAAAAACACTTAAGACTAAGTTTAATAAGAAAAAACGACTAAAGACTAAGCGTAAGAAGAAAAAACGACTAAAGACTAAGTCCAAACTGAAAAGAATACTAAAGACTAAGTCTAAGAAGAAAAAACGACTAAAGACTAAGCGTAAGAAGAAAAAACGACTAAAGACTAAGTCCAAACTGAAAAGAATACTAAAGACTAAGCTTAAGAAGAAAAAATTGCCACGCCTAACCGCCTTGTAGACGAAGCGCAGCAGGACGCAGTCGGGGGCGCCGGGGGGCAGGAAGTGGATGTCGAGGGGGGCTGCGGGCCCCGGTGTGTCAGGCACGTCCACTGACGGTAGCTTGAAGTCCACCGCCCCCGCCTTGAAGTGAGTGCTGACTAACTCCACCGCCCCCGCCCCTTGTTTCTGCACTCACACAAATGCATGGGTCAAGTTGTCCAAGTAGTGACACACTTACGCACGTAGCTCTCATACGCCCATTTGTGCGAACCACTGGGCTGTGCAAGAACCACTGATTACTATAACCACTGAGCCCAGTGGTTACAGTTTAGAGTACCAGGATTAAAGAAGTGAAGCGAGGGTTCGAGACCGCAACAATCTGTGAATATTCTGCGATGTTAAAAATCAGCGACAAGTTTAATGACCTAATGAACGCAGATATCACTATTATGATAATAACAGGCAAAGTGGGTTAAGGTGACCCACACTAGGCAAAAAAAGGGCACATTTCGCAACAACGTTTATGTTCATGCTTTATATAATATAAAGATTTCACCCTATACAAAATTTCACCTGTACGGTAAGGTGCTGCAGGTAGAGCTCAACCTTCATGTCGTGGGAGCGGTGCGTGACCGCCCCGCCCAGCTGCTGCACGCGCACTGACAGCAGCGGCATCACGCGCCCACCATCACCCATCGTCACCAGCACCACCGACACCTCTGACGCACAACAAAATATTTTATTGTATCTCTTCAAAGCTAACATTATTTATTTTGTATTTGACATGATAATGTACTAGCTAACTGTAGATATTGTTATTTAGGTTTTTTTCAAAAAAAATCATTAATGGGTTATTTTCATTTAATAATGTACTAGAGATTCTTCCAGGCAACCATGCCCAAGGCCACGCTGTAAGCACCGCCTACTAAGCTGAATTTTCCTCGCTAGCTGGTTTCGATCCCACGACTCGCGGCTCCTATCTCTGGGCGCTCGCCTACCACTGAATGGGTGTAATTACACGCGTCTGTTTACAGCCACAGGATATCATAGGAAATTCCGTTGTGCTTCAACTAAAAGAACATAATATTAGTGAATTGCGGCGAAATTTACTAAATTTCTAAGGCATATGTTTAAAAATTTTCATTCTTTTTCCTGTGATTAAGTAAAGAGATTTTCTGCTCACGTTTACAAAATTTGAATAATTCCAGGAACTCATTGCTTCTTCATCGTTAATAGGGATTTAAGGTACCCCATTAAGAATCAAGGTCTGGAAATTCTGTTTCTATACATATTCCATGGCTAATTATAATTATACAAGGACAAAGCCCATGACGATAATAAAGTTGACATCGGAGAATAATTATATGAATAATTATTAGTGATAATTACTAATATGATTATTCGTATTTTTTTCAGCATGATTATCAGTATAATACAAACCCTGGACTTTGAATAATTCTAGATATAACTATCAGTATAATTATCAGTATAATCAATCATCAGTAAAATTATTAGCACATGACGCTCCCTGGACTTGGAATAATTCTACGTATAACTATCAATATAATTATCACTATAATCATCAGTATCATTATCACTATGATTATTCGTCTTATTATCAGTAAGATTATCAGTATAATTATTAGTTTGATTATCAATGTGATTATTCCTATGATTATGAATAAGATTAATAGCACAGAACGCACCCTGGACTCGGAAGGACAGCGCCAGGTTGACGAACTGCGGGCTCTCCTGATGGGGGGCGCCGTCCTGCTGCTCCAGGGGCGCCGCCCCCAGCGACGCCGCGGCCGCAGCAGCACAACCCGCGTCCAACATAACGTTCATGTTCATGTCCATCTCCTGCACCAACATAACGTTCATGTTCATGTCCATCTCCTGCACCAACATAACGTTCATGTTCATGTCCATCTCCTGCACCAACATCAACATACATCATGTGCTGCACCAACATCAGCATTAACAACACACAATTCAACGGAGCATTAATACAATTAATTTTTAATTAATTTTAACATAATTGTGTTCTTTTGATCCTGTGAATTTGTAATAATTACTATTAAATAACCACAAAAAATAATTTGAGTAATATAACTACCAGGACCCCATCACCCTCCTGGTGGGGGGTTATGACCCCATAACCCCCATCAGCCACCTAGCAGGGGGTTATGACCCCCATCACACACCTGGTGGGGGATCGTGACCCCCATCACCCACCAGGTGGGGGGTTATGACCCCCATGACCCTCATCACCCACCTGGTGGGGGGTTATGACCCCCATGACCCTCATCACCCACCTGGTGGGGGGTTATGACCCCCATGACCCCCATCACCCACCTGATATATGGGAGGTGATGGAGGGGTCAGGACGTCATGCGCCCTAGAGATGCTGTGGGCGATGTGGGCTACCTGCGTCAGCCTGCCCGGTTATCAACATTTATTTTATTATTAAATATTTTATTATTAAATATTTTATTATTATATTTGATTATTATATATTTAATAATAAAATTTTATTATTAAATATTTGATTATTAACTTTTATTATTAAACATTTCATTATTAAATTTTCTTATTAAATATATTATTATTAAATACTTGAATATTAAATTTTATTATCAAAAATTTAATTATTAAATTTTAGTATTGAATTATTTAACATAATTTACGGAATATAGAATGTTCACCGTTATTGATGAATTATGTTAATATTAGCAACGAGCATTTGAGGTATCAATGAAATTATGATCAAAACTCTAGATAATAAAAGATTCTTTACTAAACAAGATAATCAATAGCGTATAGAACATTTTTGTTAAAGTGTTTATACAAGGGACATATGAAAAAAGGCGTTGAAATGAGTCATGCTATATACATTCAATGTTGATAGGATAACATTGGCTCATCGTTGGAAAATATATCAAAATTCAGCGTATCAAGATGGACGTTGTTTCAATGTTGAAATTAGGTTATTCGAGTATTGTTCACATTTCAACACATGATTTAACGTTAAATTTAGGTGGACAGCAATCATTTTGGCCTGAAATCAACGTTGTTTCAACGCCAGATGCATGCTGGGTTGCAATAAAGGGAAATATAATTAAAAAAGATCTAAGTAAAATGTAAGTAAATAAAGTGTAAGTAAATTATAAATAAACTGTGAGTAAATAAAGTGAAAGTAAAATCTAAGCAAAAAAAATGTAATTAAAATGTAAGTAAATAAAGTCTAAATAAAGTATAAGTAAACTGTAAATAAATAAAGAATAAGTAAATGTAAGTAAACTGTAAGTAAATAAAGTGTAATTAAAATGTAAGTGAAAAAGCGTAAGTAAAATGTAAGTAAAAAAGCGTAAGTAAAATGTAAGTACAAAAAAGCCTCACCGGTCGTCGGAGAGCGTGAGGCTGAGGACAGGCAGTGAGGCAGCGACACGCAGCCTCGGCAGCCCTGGCATGTCACTTACCACGCACACGTGTACGTCAACCTGTACACGTACACGTGCTTATAACATACATACACACGCACACGTGTACGTCAACCTGTACACGTACACGTGCTTATAACATACATACACACGCACACGTGTACGTCAACCTGTACACGTACACGTGCTTATAACATACATACAAACGCATACGTGTACGTCAACCTGTACACGTACATGTGCTTATAACATACAGACACACGCATGCGTGTACGTCAACCTGTACACGTACACGTGCTTATAACATGTCATACATATACACACACACACGTGTAAGTCAACCTGTACACGTACACGTGCTTATACCAATACAATACGTACACACGCACACGTGTACGTCTACCTGTACACGTACACGTGCTTATATCACCACACACACACGCATACATGTACGTCAACCTCTACAATACACATATACTAATACGACCGCATATACACACACACACGAGTTTTAAATCGACATGTGCATAAGCAAACATTATTATTATCCAACTTTTGGCGATTAAACTATTAAATTTATTAAACTTTATTAACTTAATTAACTTTATTAACTTTCTTTTTCAACTTTTGGTTATCAACTTTATTAACTTTATTATTCAACTTTTGGTTATTAACTTCATTTAACTTTATTATTAAACTTTTGGTTATTAACTTCATTTAACTTTATTAACTTTATTATTCAACTTTTGGTTCTTAACATACGTTAATACACCTTAAGTGAAGATATTTTTTATTTGCTGTCTTAACATATCTGAGGTTTTCCGAGTTAAACAGGCAACAAGAATAAAAAATTAAAACAGTAAAGTAAACCAAACATGAAGAGCATTAAAGAAATTATTTCAAAATAAGACCTGAAAAATGCTGAGGTTTTCAGCACCATAGGCCGATTTTGTTACTAAAAAATATGTAGGGGCGCGAAATTTCACCAGATTTTCATTGCAGCTAGTTTATAATATAAATAATATAATATAATGATAATTGCAATAATATAATATAAAAATAATATAATATAACAATAATATAAATAATATAACATAATAATATAATATAAGTATATGGTATATATAAGCTGAGTATTCCCCAACCTGTAGATGCGTGGGGGGCAGGATGTACTTGGTAGCCGCCGGGGTGTCGGGGCCACAACACGCGTCCCCAGGGGGAAGACTTAACGAGTGTGGACGTGGGGGACGAACTCCTTCTTCAGGAGGGGGATTAGCAGTGTCTGGGGGAGACAGGCGGGGGAAGAGCTCGGTGTAGGTGCCCGTGACTTCGGGGGAGGCGCCCTTTGAATCGGGGGAGGTGCCCTTTGCGTCGGGGGAGGTGCCCTTTGCGTCGGGGGAGAGGCATGTAGCGTCTGTAGATAGCAGCGCATCCTGCCATGGTTCATCTGCCCCGCACACCACCACCTGCACTCAGAAAAATGTATGGGTGGCACTCAGCACGAGATACGGCACAATCTGGGTCAAGATGACCCACACATGGGCAAAAAGAGCATCAATGTTTTTAAATTTTCACTCATTTCTCTGAGTGTGATGTTAGACGCACGCGGCTCTTGTCGGGACAGTGGAAGGAAATGTGTCATAAATAAGAAAATTCGGACAATCACGGTTGACGATTACATTGTTGGATAATCATGATTAAAAGTTCAAGTTTGGACCTAGAGTAACTAGAATAGAATTTAGTACTGCAGTATAAAACTTAAAATTATTACTGTTGCCTTCTAACAGATAACATATATACTAGGTACATAATTCTATTACTATTACCCTCCAACAGATAACATATATACTAGGTACATAATTCTATTAATGTTACCCTCCAACAGATAACATATATACTAGGTACATAATTCTATTAATGTTACCCTCCAACAGATATATACATTAAGGAATTATGACACTCAGAGTTACCTGGACATCGGTCAGTCTGACGCAATATTGGTCGTAGGAGGCGTATGGGAGACCGCTCTTCTCACTTTTGTTGCTCTTTACGCTCTTGTCACTCTTATTGCTCTTTACGCTGAGCGCTCCCAGGCTCATGACAAGGACGCAGCATGAGCTGAAAAATATGCAGCACTGTAAGCGTCATGCTGAATATGCAGCACTCTAGACAAGCCCAAGCAGACTAACATACTTCGCTGGCACTGCAGGGATAACATAATTTAATCTTCAATTTTTAGATAACCGTATTTAATATTTAATTTGTAGATAGCCGAATTAAATCTTTAATTTTTAGATACGGTAACCTAATTTAATCTTCAATTTTTAGATACCGTAACCTAAATTAATCTTTAATTTTTATAACTTAATTCATCTTTAATTTTTAGATAACCTAATTTAATCTTTAACTTTTAGATGACCTATTTTATTCTTTAATTTTAGAGAGTCCAATTTAATCTTGTTTATTACCTATAGTATAATATATGTAGTGTGTATGAGTACAAAGTACACGTTAGATTTGTGTGGAGTGTAGCGCCCCATACAATAGCAGGTGCTCTGGCAGCACAAGTCTGCCACACACCTGCTGCTCTGGCCATGCTCTGGCAGCACAAGTCTGCCACACACCTGCTGATCTGGCCATGCTCTGGCAGCACAAGTCTGGAAGGCATGACAGACAGACAGATGTCACGGCGGACGCTGCCGTCAACAGCGGCCTGGAGACCTGAGACGCTGCGCACCTTCGCCGCCTCCAGCTGGTTCAGGGCCGCCGCCTGCAGTCTGGGGGGCGTGAATGTCGTGCGAATATTTCGGTAAATTAGTTTAATTAACTTAATTAATTATACGGTAGTCGTCGTCAATGGGTAAATATCGTGCAAATATTCGTGATAAATTGGTTTAATTAAGTTATGTAATTATATGTTAGTCTTAGTTGTCTTCAATGGTGGGATAATTTTATAACACATGCAAATATTCGCGATAAATTAGTTTAATTAAGTTAATTAATCATACGTTAGTCGTCGTTAATGGGGGGATAGTTTTATTACACATGGAAATATTTGCCATAAATAAGTTTAATTAACTTAATTAATTATATGTTAGTCGTCGTCAATGGGGGGATAGTTTTATTACACGTCATCAAAAGGGGACACATCATCAGGACACATCATCAGGACACATCACCATAACACATCATCAGGACACATCACCATAACACATCATCAGGACACATCACCATAACACATCATCAGGACACATCACCATAACACATCAACAGGACACATCACCATAACACATCACACGCACTGCTGCAGGGAGAGGGTGCGTGGTGGTGCCAGGGCCGTCATCACCATCATGACACATCACCATAACACATCACACGCACTGCTGCAGGGAGAGGGTGCGTGGTGGTGCCAGCACCGTCATCACCATAACACATCACCATAACACATCATCATGACACATCACCATAACACATCACACGCACTGCTGCAGGGAGAGGGTGCGTGGTGGTGCCAGCACCGTCATCACCCTGACGCAGGTGGTGGCGTGGTATACGAGCTGCAGAGGGCGCGCCCTCAGGATGATGCGCTCATCACACGGGGCGCGTGGTGCTGCCGTGTCGCCTCCATCAGGCCGGGATCCTGCATGCAAATTAAGGTTCATCATCATAAATAATCATTTCCATACAAGTTAAAGTAAAGGTTAATCATCATAAATCATCATTTCCATACAAGTTAAAGTAAAGGTTCATCATCACAAATCATCATTTCCATACAAGTTGAAATGATGGAAATGATGATAGGTTATTCATCACAAATCATCATTTCTATACAAGTTGAAATAGAGGTTCATCGTCATAAATCATCATTTCTATACAAGTTAATCAGCCAGCTGAGAATGGTTATCATTGTGCAAAGTTTAGCGATTGTGCAATTACATGCTTCACAATGCCTCATTATTATTACTATTTTTCCTATTCACTAAGAAGAAATCATGCGGGAACATTACACACACAAAATTGTTTCTTTTATCTCAATACACCATGTGTATCGCTGCATTAATTCACCCACACAATTTAACACAGACGCCAACATCAGTGAATGAATCCTACGAAAAATCTTACACAACTCCTGGTCACTAATAAAACGCATACAATGTGTCAGTTATTTGTGTATATTCAATACAAAGCATACAATGTGTCAGTTATGTGGGTATATTCAATACAAAGCATACAATGTGTCAGTTATGTGAGTACATTTAATACAAAGCATACAATGTGTCAGTTATTTGTGTATATTTAATACAAAGCATACAATGTGTCAGTTATGTGAGTACATTTAATACAAAGCATACAATGTGTCAGTTATTTGTGTATATTTAATACAAAGCATACAATGTCAGTTATGTGTGTATATTTGAAACAATTTATCAGCTATAATTGCCCAAAGGAACCCGGTACCTAACGTCAGGTACATGAACAGGAGCTCGCTACAGGTATCTGATACAAGTACTATATTATCACTAGATACCACTCACTAGATACAAGTACTTATATTATCAGTCTGCTTATATCGCAACTTTACAAGGAATTTAAAAGCAAAAAAAAACACCAAGCAAATTCACCATATCGATATTTGAATTTGCTATAATAATCAATAATCAATATCGATATGGCAAATTTGTTTGGTGTTTTCTTTGCTTTTAAATTCCTTGGTCACTAGATACACCTGCAGACATGAACTAGATACTCATAGATACACCTGTTAACACGATACTCATAACTAGATACTACTAGATACTCAACTCACCTGTTGACATGAGTATGTCGGCTGAGGGTAGTTCATCAGAGGGTTGAAGGTCTGAGGGTGCGTCAGGAAGAGGGTTCCTCTCGTACAGGAATTCAACAAGATCCGTTGTTGAATTCACCTGATGGAGCCAACACAAATCAATTATTTATTGCATTTAAAACATTTAAACACACAATATTACACACAGAGGCCACAGAGCGCGGTGTGTAATATTGAGCAATATTAATAGCGCCTTCAATTATTAATAATAGCGTCACTATTAATAATAGCGTCACACCATTATTTATTATAGCGGCATACAACTATTAATAATAGCTACACACCATTATTAATTATATCATCACACCATTATTTATTATAGCGCCTCACCATTATTAATCATATCGCTATTATTATTATTAATCATCCACACCATTATTCATTATATCGACATTATTAATGATATCACTGTTATTAACTCCCCACCTCGAGGCTATCTACGAGCCTGTAGGGTAGCACCTCCCCAGGTTTCTTCCCCCCGTCATCCCCAGCATCGCACCCCACGCCATCGATGATGAAGCTCCCAAGGCTGCACTCAAACCTGCATAGTAATCATATTATTTATTAATTATAGCTTATATTAAAGAATGAATTATTTAATTATTTAGCATGAACAAAGGTTGCTCTCAAACCTACACGAGAAAAATAAATTGATTGAATAAATCGATACACTGGTTTTAATACGACATGGAATAATTTGAATATATTTAATTTTATAAGGAACTGCATTTATCAAATACAGGTGTCTTATGTACAAGGTATACGACAACAATGAGTGAACTAATGCAAAACTGTCGATAGTAGGATAGCACGATCATGTCATAATCTCATGCCCATGTCGTATGATTATGACATGAGCATGTCAGTATCATGCTATAGGACCATGTCATAATTGTACGACAAGAACCTGTTGTAATCGTATGACACAAACAAGTCGTAATAGCATGATATAACCATGTCATAATAGTACGACAAGAGCATATTGTAATCATACGACCTAACCATGTCAAAATTGCACAAACATGCTTCAGTCGTACAACACGACCGTGTCCTCATGGTATGACCATCTAGTAGTGGCGTGACATGACCATGTCATAGTTGTACATTCATGTCATAGTTCTACGACCATATCATAATAGTACGCCACAATAATGTCGTAATCTTACGACCATGTCGTAAAGAGACACCCATTACGGGTCCCAGCAGACCGTAGTCCTACGACCATGTCGTAAAGGGACACCCATGTCGTAATCTCACCTGACGGCGGCAGCGGCGGACCTGACGGCGGTGTTCATCCTGAGGGCGGCGACCTCCGCCCTCAGGAGTGTCTGTGCCGCCCCAGAGGGTAGGTCGTCCTCTGCAAGAGAGTAGGGAGGTGTGAGGGTAACAGGCAAGAGGGTAGAGGAGTGTCAGGGTAACAGGCAAGAGGGTAGAGGCGTGTCAGGGTAACAGGCAAGAGGGTAGAGGCGTGTCAGGGTAACAGGCAAGAGGGTAGGGACGTGTCAGGGTAACAGGCAAGAGGGTAGAGGCGTGTCAGGGTAACAGGCACGAGGGTAGGGACGTGTCAGGGTAACAGGCACGAGGGTAGGGACGTGTCAGGGTAACAGGCACGAGGGTAGGGACGTGTCAGGGTAACAGGCAAGAGGGTAGGGACGTGACTGTACCATATAATAATTACCTACGTACTTGATATTGGAATCTCAAATAGGTGATGAATACGAGAGCAGCGCTGACTCATGTTAGAGGCAGGAGGTGAGGCAGATGAGGCCGAAATTAAGGCCACTAGGAAGTATGAGCAAGCCTGCATCGTTGGTGAGGCAGAAGGTGAGGCAGGAGGAGAGGCAGGAGGAGAGGCAGAAGGTGAGGCAGAAAGTAAGGCAAGATGACAAGAAGTATGAGCAGCACCTGCATCGTTGGTGAGGCAGAAGGTGAGGCAGAAAGTAAGGCAAGATGACAAGAAGTAAGAGCAGCACCTGCATCGTTGGTGAGGCAGAAGGTGAGGCTGGAGAGCAGGAAGTTGACCCTCAGGTCGTGGTAGGTGAGGGGAAGTGAGGGCGGCAGAGCGCCCTCACTGTGCCCGATGGCAGCGTACAGTTCAGCCTTCTCTTCGGCACTCAGCTGCTCTGCCAGCTGTGTTACTGCAGTCATAATTATAGCGTTATTTATTATTATAATTAGTGGGTCACTATGTTAAAGCAGTGATAATTATATCGTTATAGATTATTATATTTAGTGGGATACTACGTCAAAGCAATCATAATTATATCGTTATAGATTATTATATTTAGTGGGATACTACGTCAAAGCAATCATAATTATATCGTTACCTATACATTATTATATTTAGTGGGTCACTGCAATGCATTATCATCAACGTATCACCACATGCCATCATTGTCACTATCAACAGTGCGTCACTGCAATGATAGTTGCATCATTACACGCAGTCATTGTTAGTATTATGAAATGAAAAAGCAGTAAAACAACACGTAATTATTAACGTATCATTCCACGTCATCATTGTCATTTTCAGTACATAAACACCCGTCACTGCAGTGCGCTGTCATCATTTGTTTTATATTCAAGCCGTTGTTACTATTACTATCACAAGCATCAAGAGATTTTTAAGAGTGATGATGCAAAAATTTCAAGCACATTTTAGTTTTTTTTAATACACTCTTCCATGTAGGTGTATTTGATTATACACGGGGTTATTAGGTGCGTCTATTAGTTGCGTCTACTACAGTTTGGCAGGCTGAGAGCCTATACACGAGTATAGTGTTTCAATACACTGCGCCCACGTCAGTGCGACGTTGGGAGTTGTCGAGTAAGGGTGTGCACGGTGGAGGCATGCGAGAGCAAGACAGCAGTACGCGCTACAGTGGGCAAGAGAGAGAGCGACACAGCTGTGCTCGGTATGACGGCCGGGCGGCTACTGAGCGCAATGCTTCAAAACAACTCGAGTTGCTCGGCCTGCAATGAACGCGCTAGTTGCCTCTGAACACGTCAAGCATCACAAATTTTAGTAGCCTCGCCTAGTAGACGCAACTAATAGCCCCGTGTATAAACACCTTAATTAAGGAGCGCGAAACTATTAGCTTCTGCGGTATAGCTCGCGAAAAATATTAGCAGGCGAACCAAATTTATAGAAAATTTATAGCAGGCGAACCAAATTTATAGAAAACCAAAAGAATAGAAAATTTTAACAAAAGTGAGAACATTTTCAGCATCTTCACTGAAAATTCTATTATTTAATCGAAGGAATTTTAGCATGTGTAGAAAAAATTCTGACAATTGCTAAAAAAATTCTAGCCGGCTTAGAGGAAAATGTAGCCGGTTTGCTCACCTGTAGTGGGTTGGTTCTCAGCATCACCCTGGGGGGCGGTGGGCTTGGTACCCCACGACATCCACCCACCAAACCACCCCCTGTTGGGGGGCGCCTCCTGCTGCTGCTTCTTCTTCAGACGTCCCTCTCGCTCCACCTGCGATATATTCCATCAATTTTTTCCCTCTAACTGCGATATATTCCATCAATTTTTTCCCTCTAACTGCAATATATTCCATCAATTTTTTCCCTCTAACTGCAATATATTCCATAAATTTGTACTCTGGCTTTCCTTCAAAATGCATATTCCATCAATTGTTTTCCCAGAAACTTCGATATATTCCATCAATAGTTTTCCCAGAAACTTCGATATATTCCATCAATTGTTTTCCCAGAAACTTCGATATATTCCATCAATTGTTTTCCCAGAAACTGCGATAATTTCCAGCAATTGTTTTCCCAGAAACTGCGATAATTTCCATCAATTGTTTTCCCAGAAACTGCGATAATTTCCAGCAATTGTTTTCCCAGAAACTGCGATAATTTCCAGCAATTGCTTTTCCTCTAACTGCGATACATTCCATCAATTCCTGACACTTGTTTGTCTAACTGGGCTGGGTTTAATTATTTTGATATGTGAGCTGAAAAACTAATATAAAAACATTCTAAAGACGACAAACACTCATGGAACAAGGCTACTAACGAACAAGGAAACGACTACAAAACGGCACAAGTATGTGAACAAACTATCACATTAACTGCTGTGACTAAACTATCACATTAACTGCTGTGACTAAACTATTTATATATATATAGTGATTTTCATTACATTACAGAAATGATTTCAAAGAAGAAATGATATCATAAAACTAAAGACAATCGTAATGAGTTTCCAAAAACGAGAAGTGACCTCAACCACCACATTTATGTTAAAAATTAAGAAAATGATACGTAGGGCAATCCATCAAATAACATGATGTTAAGATTATAATTTCAAAAGGATAATGATATAAAAAGAACTATAAAGATATTTTAACAGTAATTAATATGATAGAGCGAGAACAGACTAAGGATTTGTAGAGTTTCATCGCATATATTTAAAATTTATGAAGTGAATCTCTGAGGTTCATCAAATACCTCGGCTGTGAGTGAGAAAGTGTACAAATATTTGGACAATGTGACCCATTTATTATTCTAAGAGTATATAGCGAGAACTGACCTCAACTTTAGCCTGTCGTCGCATGAGGGAAAGGTTGAAGAGGTCTAACTGGCGCTCGAACTCCTCCAGTTTATCTCTGCACAGCAATAAAAACGTTACAACAGGCGAACCTTCAAGAGAAAAACGTTTAAAATGCGAACGTTTTAAGATAAAAACGCATAATGAGGCCAATGGTTCAAAAGACAAACGTTTCAAAATACAAACGTTCCAAGAGACAAATGGTCTAGAGACAAACGTTTCAAGTTACATATACGTTTCAAGAGACAAACGTTTCAAGTTACATTCGTTCCAAGAGACAAACGTTTTAAGAGACATACGTTTTAAGAGTGCAAGGTTTTAAGTTACAAACATTTCAAAATACAAACGATTCGAGAGACAAAATTTTAAAAAGCCAACGTTTCAAGAGGTCAACGTACTATAAAAAAAACGTTTGAGGTCAACGTTTCAAGAGAAAAACGCTTATCAATTTGCATGCAAATTGATAAATAATTTCAAAAAATCTAATTAGCAGCTCAATAAATTATTAGTATAACAAATTACCAACTATTTGAGTGAGCACCCCACCTGTTATTGCCGGGGGGAGATGTTAAGGTCGTCTTATAGGCGGCCATGTATGCACGGCACGTCGCCCTGTGCGTCTTCATGTGCGTCCACGACCAGTTCCTGCGTACACGCCTGATGCTGTCCAGCTGACACATGTACGCGTACCTCCACCTAGATAATAGTTAAAATCTATCAAATTTATCCCTATATAATAGTTATAATTGTAAAAAAACGTTAATTTAAGATAAAAATAGAGATATTTTATAAGATATATAAATGAATCCCTATATAATAATTCAAATTTGTTAGAATAACGTTAATTCCAGCTATTAAAGTGATATTTTAACATCAGATAAAAGGTCAAACTACCCACCAGAGTTTCGTACATTTTACAAAGTACAAAATTTATTGCTATATAATAGTTAAAATTGTAAAAAAAGTTTATTCCAGATAAAAATAGTGATATTTTATCAGATATATAAATTTATATCTATATAATAGCCAAATTAATTAGTATAACCTTAATTCCAGATAAAAATAATGATATTTTAGTTGATGTAAAAGGTAACACAACCCACAAGAGGGCAGCATGGCCGGCGCGGGTGGGGAGGATGGGGCGGTGGTGGCGGTAGAGGGCGGCTACCCTCATCCTGTCCAGGCTCTCCACCAGCGCCATCGCCCCGCAGTACTGCCGCCGACTCAGACCTGCGTGAGTATTTACGCTATATTTTCTTGTCTATGATTAAGTGAACGTAAGTACTTACGCTCTATTTTCTTGTCTATGATTAAGTGAACGTAAGTACTTACGCTCTATTTTCTTGTCTATGATTAAGTGAACGTAAGTACTTACGCTCTATTTTCTTGTCTATGATT